TCTCAGCATGCAATTTTATAGTTTTAAAAAGAGAATGCGATTCTATGAGTCGTAAGGGTCCCAACAGATTGTATGTGCAGGATGTATGGAGGCAGTAATGGCTGCAAAATCTTGCAAAAGCGATCGAATGCAGGACGTGCAGACTTTTTATATGTTGGACGATGAGATTATTTTAGATAAACTTAAACCCTGCATGTCTGTGGAATCTGGTCTCCTATAGGAAATACACTTCTCCAAAGATGGATGGGATGTGTATTTATAATTTACCCATTTTCATATGATTAAGGTTGTTAATTAACAAAGAAATGACATTGGAGTACATCAAACTTCCTTCTGTAGCAATGCCATGGCAGATGAATATAACATGTATATTTCAGAAAGACTTAAAACATGTAATTCTGTGTATTATAATTATATAGTTATGATGCCTGTACAAAGTCTTAAACCCCCAGCAATGTGGATTAAGTATTTTTCTGCTACTTGATTCCATTCAGATCTATGAACTAAAGCTAACACAGTTTAACTGAAAATGAATAAACGTATCCAGAAGTTCCCAGTATTAAATTATTCCTTCAGGAGTGGATGGAAAAAAGGCTCCGCCAGAAGAAGAGACATAACCGGTTTGATTAATGAGACTCGTGGCTGCTCCACAGTGCAGTGAACAGATGTGGGCCATCCTGCTGTTCGTTTGACTCAAACAGCTTTAAATGGGTCTCGCTCTACTTAAGCATGCTCCACTGTTGCTCAGTTTATCTCTGCTCCTCCTGTTTTGGGTGTAAGTTGGGGAATAATGACAGTAATTTGTGGTACACTATAAAACATTACTACACCTACTGTTTTTACTATACATAAAGATGTACAGCAATGCAGTTTCCATATGAGACTTCGCCCAGAGGTTAATGCTTTTTATACTTATACTTTTACACAGTGTCCATCCCTCCTTATCTGACAATGAGTGTGAACCTTTACATTGACATGACTGTAACATACTGTATCTCTCAGTGTGCACAGTGACTAACAAACTGTGTCTCTCCTGCAGTGGGCTGCTGTGTGATGGCTTTCTCCATTGGTCTCCTGTTTGTTCAGCGCTCAGGGAACTACTTCGTGGCCATGTTCGACGACTACTCGGCTACTCTGCCTCTGCTCATAGTGGTCATATTGGAGAACGTGGCAGTCGCTTGGGTTTATGGGATTGATAAGTAAGTACACAACATCATCATCATCTGCATATCGCCTTAACCTTCACGAATTACTTCATATAACTTATAGCGTACAAAAATAAGCACAAGTAACTTTCTGATGCAAATTTAACTCTGTAAACTATTTAGAAAAAACAGCTATTACATCAAATAAAGTTTCAAATTAAAATATCGCAACTGAAGTATCCCTTCCATACTGTATTTTGAGATGTGTTTTTATTATGGCTTGAAAAAAAGGAAATAACCTACAGCCACATGTGCATCTGCATTTTGGCAGTTATGTTTATATTATTGTTGATTTCAACAATAATTAAAATATAAAATACTTTTGTTTATAAATGTCTACTTTTACAATAATCAAATTTTCACAAAATAAGAGCTATACCTGTTTCTACCTGGTATAAAGACTTCCTTGGCTGTGAAGGGTTACAAACTCCACGTGTGGCAGGTTTTGTCCATTTATTTCTAAATATTGCAAATAAGTTAAATAATTTCATTCACAAGCTTTAACGGAAACAGTGACTTCAGAGGGTTAACACAAAGCCTTCGCCTTCCACCATTTATGGGGACAAATAGTCTATTTTTGGAACTCCTGAGTCGGTATATTGTCTAAATCAAACTTTCTGAATGAAGCCATTAAGGCAAAATATAAACAACGTATAAAGATCATCAGGTTTATAACGAACATGAAAACTATTGTGAATTCTTTACCACAAACATTTGATCTCACCTCATGCTGCTTTGCTGCTGCCGCCGCTCTCTCAGATTCTTTGAAGACCTGAAGGACATGCTGGGCTTTACGCCGTACCGCTTCTACTACTACATGTGGAAGTACATCACGCCCATCCTGCTGCTGGTTCTTCTGTGCTCCAGCCTCATCCAGCTGACCATGACGCCGCCCAGCTACAGTGCCTGGATACAGGAAGAGGTGAGTCAACGTCTCCGCCTCGTCTCTCCTGAGACCAGGGATCAATGGGGGGGTGGAAGTCCTCCTACTTAGTAATCCTGGAAGAGGTAAAAAGCAGATTAAAGGGTTCAAAGTAAATGAGGCAGTAGCTAAAAAAAATGGGGGGAAATGACCAAGTTTTCACTGATAAACACATGTCCAGGCATCCTTTAACCCGCAGACAATCAACAGGATGTGTAGTCTACCCTACAGACATTCAAGCACTTGTTTGATCACAGAGTCATTTTAAAACCATTGGTAAGTGGTGCAAAGGCCAAATGGGAGTAAGTGTACCTGCATTTGCTTCTTCATGTGTCCAGTGAGGCGGAGTTACCTGAGTGAATAGCGAAGTAGACACCTGAAGTCATCATTCTCATCAAAATTGTTTTGATTAGTATCTTAATCAGTCTATAAAATTAAAGTTTACACCAAAAAGATGTGTGTAAAATCCCCATCACAATTTCATAACGTCCAAGGTGACATCTTCACATTCTTCGTTTGTCCAACCAAAAGTCTTGAAACCAAAGATATTCAATTTGGAATGATATAAACACAGAGAAAAGCAGCAACTACTCACATTTGAGAGGCTGAAATTAATGAATTGTGAAGATTTTTACTTGATTGACTAATCGATAAGCACTTATTTCTTTTTTTGCAGCACAATATTTTGCCAGAAATAGAGACTTCCCCACTAGAATAGACCTAAATAAAATAAAATGCCACTACCGGGGAAAAGCAGAGGTGTCATTTGACACAATAAATGCCATATATATGTAATGAATCCTTCTTGTCATCTGGCTGTCCTCCATATTTACAACTGTACAACTTCATGTTTTTCTCATGTTTGTCCTCCAGGCCAAAGAGCAGACTTTGCACTTCCCTCCGTGGGGCATTGTCGTCTGCATCTCCCTGGTGGTGATGGCCATCATGCCGGTGCCTGTGGTCTTTGGCCTGCGCTACTTCAACATCATTGATGAGAACACCACCGGCCTCTCCACTGTTTCCTACAAGAAGGGCCGCATCATCAAAGAGAGCGCCCGACCAGGGGAGGATGACGACACCAGCCTGATCCAAGGCAAGTCACCCAGCGAGGCGCCCTCACCGATGCCTGGCAACAGCATCTACCGCAAGCAGAGCGGCAGCGCCGGTGGCCCTGATGCGGACACCGCACCCAACGGCCGTTATGGTATTGGTTACTTGATGGCCGACATGCCGGATATGCCCGAGTCGGACTTATAGACTGACTGTAATAGTAAGCCCTGCCCGGCCATACCGGCTGGCCACTCCTCCCCTCCACCCCACTGCGTGCGTTTAGTTGGCTGTATCATCAATGTATATTTCACTTGTACTGTATATTCTTTGTAGATATCGTAGCTGCTCTCTATTTGTCGTCTCTGAACCTTATATGATTGTCTACCTTAAAAAGAAAAAAGGTGTGGAAATAAACGTCATCCGTGTCTGACTCTTGACCCATTTGCTCGGCTGCGTCCTAAACTCGCCTCCATCTCCTGCTCCCTCCAGCCTTTGCTCCCTCCTCCTTGCAGATCCTGCAGGAGAGAACAGGTGTAAGCAATAAGGTGGATGTTCCACCAGGCCTACTTGAACAAGAATCTGCAAAGAGGAGTCTGCAAAGGAGCAAGTCAGGGGGTCATGAGGTCATTTTAGGACTGCGCCTGTGTCTGTGGGCAGTGTAAATCAAGCCAGCTTCGAGTCCTGCTGTAAAAAGTGGTTGTGTACATTATGACCCCTAACTGCTGGCCAACCAATACTGAGATTAGTAGCAGTGCAGCCACTCTGGATGGCATGACACTGCAACACTGAAGAGATTTTTCTTGGTGAAAGTTCCCATCAATCTAGAGGATGGCCTTTGAAAACCACCCCCATGATTGTTTGAGACAAAAGTGTGCCTAAGTAATTTATATTTGTTTATAGAATACATCATGAACGTTGTATATTTAAGGTATTCTGTAAATATAATATAAATATTATAAATATATTTATCTCGATAGTTTGGATATCAGAACACCGTGTTTTTAAGGTTCAGAAGTACTTCAAATCCTTAACTCTCATCTTTGTTTTTTACTAATGTATTGTCAGTGTTTGTGAGGACTGAGTCCTCCTTGTAAATATTTTTTTCCATGAAATGGCTTCAAATGCAATGTCTTATTTTCCCTGTCAAGATTAAAGACCACATATGGCCCATACCCTGAAATTGATGACTGATTTCTTTTATCTTTCTAGTCCATGAAATACATTAAACATGTTTTAATGTAAACAATGCTTATAATACAACATGAAATGTACAATATCCATCCACAAATACAAAATACTTAATGTAAAGAAACATAATGTGGAGAGAATTAAGATACTGAAGAATTTAGTCAACCACCAAAGATAAAATTTAGCTATTTGTAACTTTTGCTAATGCTACGTAGCTAGCCTTAGCATTAGCCGCTGTTAATTACCAATCTAGAGGAACCGTTGCGTGTTCAGCATCAAACATCATTCCTTTACTCACAGAGAGCTGTCTCCGGCGGTGGAGAGCAACGCCAATGTTAACTCTTGTCTCCGTCACTTGAAGTTAGCATGCTAACCGGCTAGCCCCGGTACGTGTCGTCACTTTCCGTTAGCAACTTGCTGTAGCTCCAAATCTGCCCCGATGACGTGGCGCTGCCTCGGAGGTGGGCGTATCATAATTTCACCGCTCTTCAGAAACCAACGCGTGACGTCACAAAGGCTAAGTCCACATTAGCCTCTTGTCTTGTAAACGCGACAACTGCTGAAGCTCTTGTAACCCGTGTTCTTTGAGTAAATATTGCTCTGACAAACACATACACAGAGAACCATGTCAGTACATAAAATAATATTTACTTTCTTGTTCTGTTGGACACCATCACAAACAGTGACTTTAGGTAACATGAAATAAAAAAACGTGTACAAAGCCGCCAGCATAATGAGGAGTCCTGTGGTCTGCTTACTGCTGTGGAGTGACTGAGCTCACTGGTAAACAAGCACACATAGACATGAGAATAAATAATCAAATATACACTTCTAGAGGCTTTCTTTTTTTTACCTCCTTTGGCTTTCTTTCCAGTTTTTTTTTTCTATCATACTACAGGTAAACAACAATCAGTATTCATTAGGAGCAGGAGGTCGTCCTGAACATCTGCACTGCTCTCATCTCCGATTACAACACAAATTAGATCATCTGTGTCCCTTTTAGACAAATGTCTCTCTTTGAAAACAACCAAGATTGTACTCATCTGGTAAAACATGGCACATTATTTAATGTGTGCATCTTCCAAAACAAAAAACAAAAGTTGATTTCTTGATTCAAATTCTTTTGACTGATTCATTGCAACATGCTCCCCTCATCAGGTACGGCTGTCAGAAAATGAGGTAAAACGTCTGCTGACGCATCGGTCCACCGGAGAGTTGATCCCTTTTCCTCAAGCAATTCTGTTAAAAAAGAAAAACAAAATGATGATGTTATTGGTGTGGTTGAAATCATTATCATTATACTTATACAGATATTGATTGCTACATACCATAATATGGCAAATATATGCAAAATCAAACAGTTGCTATGGTGCCACTAAGTGGTTGCTACATGGGTGCTATGGTGTTGCTAGCTGTTATATTGCTATAATACTAATTCCATAGGAAATGTATAAGTAGCACTAATGCAGCCAACAAGGTGCCAAAAAAAGAGACTTGTAGTGAAGTTTAAACAAAAAAATAGTCCAGCTCATCCTTCTACTGCAGCTGCTTCTGGGAATACAGCCACATCTGCTTCTGTTACCACGACAACGACCATTACTGGTGATACAACTACTGCTACTGCTCCTTAAAGCCTCTGGAAACTTGGTTTTTAAATTGTAAATATTTTTCTGTAACATTAAATCTAATTTAAAGTTAGAAAAAAGTATCTGTATGTAATATTTATTAACGACCTGCTACATCAGGTCTGTGCAGCAAAACTCTTGAACCAAACCCATCTGAACCGAGACTGTGAAAGTGAAACAACCAAAACTCTTCTACAATTGTCAGAAAAGACTGTCACGTGCATCACCCATCATAAAAAGCTTTTCTTGAGAGTAGTGGTTTTCAGGGCCTTTGAAGTTAAAGTCTAGATATTTAAGATAAGATGCAGTTGAGGGCACTTCAACGCCACGACTTTCACTCTTACCACAATCAAGCAGCTTAATGACCAGAATTGAAAAGTAGGTTGTGAAGGAAATAAAACAAAGTCACACCTGTGGGCTCAGCTGTGATGAAGCTGCTCTCTCATTTTGGCTGCGATCTGCTCTCTCTTCTCGCAGTGTCTGTTCAGGTCTTTGACCTCCATCGGCAGCGTGCTGTTCCACGCCATCAGCACCGACTCCTCGTCTGAGGGCAGGGACAAACATGCACTTCAGACCAACACAGAGAAACTCACACAGCGACACGACTGTGGGACAAACAATGAGCCGTCAGACTCACCAAACTGATTCTTGTCTTGTGGGAGTCTTCTGCCCAAAGTCAGCACCACATTCTTCCAGTTTAGTGTTTCTATGAAAAAAAAAAAATGTAATTACACTTAACAGAGTTCTTAAAGAAAGGCTGGTGTAGATTCAGCAATTAAGCACATGAAAATTACAGCAACAAATCCACAAAAGAGATCACGGGGTAAAGGAAAACAAACATAATACACAAAAGAGTGAGCAAACTGTGAGCAGCATGCTGTGCTGTTTCACACATTTCTGCACACAAACACCCTGACAGAGCATGAACCCAAAACAAAAGAATAACCCAGCTGTTTAAAAATGTTTTCTTCACTCATTCAGCTTCCTTCCTTTTTGTTTTTTTTTTAATCAATTTTCTCACTCACTAAATGCTGCACGATGTACATCTGTTATATACTCTAAACTCAAATATTTACTGAAGGGAAAGAAATGCTTCTCCATAAAACTAGAGGAAAAACCACCATATATAACCAGCAACTCATGCGTTTAAGATTCTTATGGCAAAATGTTGCTGGATTGATAAATTAACCTTGAAACTGTGGAACAAAATGAGCAGGAAACATAATTTCTCCTCAGTCTGAAGATATTAGGAGGCACTGGAGTTGTCTAATGTCCTGTGATGATCACCATCTCATATTAAACAGAACCATTTACGCTAATTATTATGTATAATTAGCTGTTTTAGTTTTAACAAAATCATTTTTTCTGTATTAATATGCAAATGCAGGCAGCAAGCTGCTCCAAAATCAAGTGATATCATGTAGTAGATAAGACGTGCCTTGTACAATTTCACAACGGCTGAAGGGAATGACCTTTTCCTTTGCCCTGGACAAGATAAGTTACATTACAAAGAACAAACTTCACAAGTTTTGAGACATTTGGAACTTCTTTTCTAACTTCCTGAAATGTAAGAATGTTGAAGCAGAAGGATGGAACTGACAGCTGTATAGGCCTGTATCACCCTTTATATTTGTGTGTGTCATAATATTATGTATTTTCTATTATTATTATTTGTGACTATAATATAATTTTACTCATTATTGTCTTATATCTTATATGTGGTATTTTTGTACCTATATATGCCTTCTTGCTCTGTGTTTGTGTTGTTCTTGTGCTTAAACAATTCAAATTTCAATAAAGAAATGTTTGAAAAAAAAAGAAGATAACAGGTGCATGTGGCTTCTGTCACAATAAATATATAAGTGTGTTTGTTTGTGATCTAGTAATAAGAAATGCTTTCCACATTCACACCTTGACAACTTTACGTGTGACCTGCACACGTGGCATCACAGTGGTGTGGCATAAAAATAAAACCATGTCGATAAAACGCATAAATAATAGAACAGATAAGTAAAAGCTGAGGGCACACCTATGAGTGCAGAGGCGATGCAGCGGATGGAGTCGCAGCGGGGGCCGATGACCTGCAGCGTCTGGTGTTTGGAGAGCTCCAGCAGCAGCAGGTGGCCCCCTCTGGTGCCGACCCAGAGAGCTGCAGCGGTCTGAACCAGCAGGGCCTTCACTCTGGCCCAGGAGGGGGCCGCTTCGGTGGGCAGCTCCGCCTCGCTGCCCTGCCGGCCTCTGCAGCCGGAGCCATGTCTGCGGGGAGAAGACTCTTATACATACAGGGCTGTACTGCAGCATCTTTCACCTTTCACTTCCTGCTGATTGTTTCCTCTTCTTTTGGACATGGTGCTCGTATCTCTGTCTACATATCGGTCAAAGTGGTATGTTGTGTCGTGTGTGTGTACCTGATGATATGAGCGCAGTCGATGCAGTCCACCATCCTCTCACTCCTCTTGTCCCAAACCTCGACCGTCGGCGTCCCAGCTTTGTTCAGGTACACGTATTTATCCACAACCATTCGCAACACACACGACTCACCAGCCAGTGATCGCTGCTGCCTGGAGGACGCACACACACAAAACCCACTGTTATAATAATAATAATAATAATAATAATAACAACTTACAACACAGTAAGGTAGAATACAAGTACAAGGCATTAAATACAAAATAATCAAGTACAAGGATAAAATACAGAATAAACTAGAATAAAATACCAAGACAGTCACACATTCTATTAATTCTTTATCAATCTTTCAGTTCAATAAATCTATTATCAGTCTTTTGGTAAAGTCTTGTTAGGACTTGCAGAAATATTTGTTGTCACATTCATGACAGACAAGTTCTTTAATTCAGAAGATCAAATTTTCACAATGTGCACGTGATCATTTCTAACATCAGGCCACATGTTTCCGCCTGGATCCGCTCTGCTTTAGTAAATCTTCAGCCGCCTCACATTCCCCCACATGACGCGGACTCACTGGAAGAAGAGGTTCGGTCTGGTGTCGATGGTCCTGCAGACGTCGTACTCGGCGGTGAAGGAGAGGATCCTGGTCCCGCAGCCGGCCCACACGGACCTGCCGTCCAGCGAGTGCAGCGACTGGCCCAGACACATGACGGGCGTGCTGACGTTTCCCACTGTGACAGTTTTAACCGGCTGACCTTTTTCCTGCTGGAAGGACGGAGAACGAGAGGAAAGTAAAGATTCCAGTCTGGACTTGTGGATTGATCGCATACACAGTGTTACACATGCACAGCACGGGAGGACGCGCATGTCAGAATATCAGCGACTAGACAAAAGAAAATCATCCTTTGAGAAGAAACACGAGGGATCTTTTATGTAATATCTAATATTTACCTTGAGAACAGAGTCCTCATAAACAGTGAGAAGTCCATTGGCTGTTCCAACCAGCAAATAATTCTTTCTTTGGCTGAAATAAAAAGAAATAAAAAAAGATGAAGATTAGAACATTAATGGTGATTGTTTATTCAACATTCCCGTGATAGACAGAGTTTCATGCACGTCTTTCCAGATCTAGATTTAAGCACAAATTAAATCTGCAGTTACATTAGTCACTTTATAATTTTACTTCCTGGATTTCTAACCATTCCCTCACATAATGAAGAATCATTTACAGGGTTTTACAGAAATCACTTCAGTAAAACTGACGTGTACGTATGAAAATGCTGCAGATTATTAGACGGATTTATCAGATCTGTCATATTTCAAACATATTAGAGAGCAGGTGCTGTGTTTTAAATAGTCTCTAATGTAAATGTGTTAGTGTTTAGGTGTTTCTGGTGTCTGGATCATCACTAAAACAGAGATTTTAATGCTGCTGCTCACTTATTGTCTTCTAACGCACTGTTTCTGTTGTGTTTTTATTAACTTACTGTCCTTTATGTTTATTTATTCTCCTGTTTTATGTTTTTATATGTGCTAAATGCAAATATCCCATATATAAACAGATATGGCGTCCTCTTTATATATGTTGCTGGTCACAAGGTTGAGACAAATGTTTTGTTGTGACTGTTACAGTCGGATGAATTCCCCAACGACCTCCATCAGGCCGAAATATACATTTTTGTTTTAAAAGAAACGATCTAACATGTAACAGGCCACAAACTTCCCTCAGCACCTTCACACACGCTTCAGCTGAAGCAGCAGGAGGTTCGATTCTCCACGAGCGCAGCATCCTCTTTAGTTTTGGTTTTTTACAGACACTTACGTTCGACGAGGGTGCACGTGGAAGTACAGTGAGGTGACAGCATCCGTGACGCTCTGCAGGTGGTGCCAAGTCGACATGTCCTGGGTGCTGATGACCACTAAGGAGCCAGACTGTGTGCCAGCCACCAGCCAATCACAGGCCTCGTTGGGGATTTGAACCGTCACCAGACACAGGACGGGACTGGTGTCGATGTCCTGCAGGAGGGAGAGAAGTGCCGTGATGCTGCTCAAAGTTTGTCACGAGCAAGATGAGAGAGGTGAAATACAGATTTTAACGCTGCTGCTCATACCTGTGTCATGACTGCGTTGGTGTCCAGGTCCACGGCTGTGATGGAGCCCACCCTGTGGCTGCTGGTGCTGCTGCCCCCTCCCAGCCAGGCTCTGTGGCTGCTGAACGGACTGTCACTGCTGGCAGAGCTCATTGTGAGGCACTCGGCGTTGAACGCCCGGGGAACCACCAGCTCCTTCATCAGACACAGCATCTCCCCCGAATTCAGCCGATCAAACACCTGCACGCATGACAGAAACCTTTTTTTTTTTTTTTTTTTTAAATTGTGTGTGAAACGAGCTCGATTGGCTCTGACATCGTGAAACACACTCTAATCTGTTGCCTTCCTGTCTGCCTACTCACTGCAGCTCGTCTCTAGACTGCTCCAGCTTCCTCAAACCTTTCCCTCGTTCTCAATGAGAAAGAAAGAACCAGCACTCCTCTGAACACAGTCACACAGTCTTCAGCTTCTAACCTGAGCAGACGTCGGTCGGTCCTGCGGACTTTCCCTCAGACAGTCCTTCATCAGCGTCTGGAAGCCGGGCCAAGGCGAGCAGCCGTAGTGTTCTACTGGATCTGTGTGAATGACAGTGAGGTGAACACTCACACGTCTATGCAAAATGGCAGTAAAACAAAAGCTCTAATCTGTAGCACACCCGAGCATGAATATAGTTGAAATAACGTTTTAGATAATACCAGAAAATCATAATAGTCATCATATATCATATATCATATATATATATATATATAACCAAAATGATTAAACTCATTCTCACAAATTCAGTATCAAGTTTTTTGGATTTTGCAATTGAGGCTTTACATTTCTGTCAAGCTGTATAATATAAAAATGGCCGCCGTAACATCACAGTTAAGGCGTGAAGGCCCAAAAACCACTATTCAAAACACAAGATGAGAACCTGTCATCACAACAGTCACATTAATACAGACAACAGCAATAAACAGTCAAAATGCTAAAGGGGAAAGTTTTTTTTTACATGAATAATGCAGGTAAACACAGAAGTAAACAAGCCTAAACTTTCAATTATGAGCTGCTAACCATTTTATTTAATTCATATGCTTCTTCTCTAATTATGATCAGTCCGTAATGACGCCATCTAGAGGCCATGCAGCGTCAGAGTGGATCAATCCAGCATCAGTTGTCTGGAAATGCTTCACCATATTTCACATGAAACCAGAAACCTGTTTTTAATATGAACAAATTAAAAGTTTGATCTTATAAAAAAAAAATCCCAGCTGCTACATTAAACACTTGTACAACAGAGGTGATTTCAGCTCAGTAAAGTTACCTGGCAGCTTCCCCTGCACTGCGACTTCATCAAACTCACTGGGGAACTTCATGCCGTCAGAGATGCGCTCACCGCAGGTCAGGAGGTCGTAGAGCAGGAGGCCGAATGAGAACACATCAGCCTGCTGGTTGTAGATCACGTTACCCCGGGCGACCTCTGGTGCTCGGAAACCTGCGTGACACACAGAAATCAGTTATAAACAGCTTTACATATACTAGACTGAAACCTTCTGTACCTTTACTTTACTTTACTTTACTGATTCATCACATTGTAAACATGAACAGCTCCAGGTCAGATGTGTAATAAGGAGGTTGATCTTATGTAACAAGGATCTATGAGGCCTGAGGAGACGTCTGACCTGGAGTGCCCTCTGAGCTTCTCACTCCCATGCTGCAGCAGTACTGAGCGATGCCGTAGTCTGTGATCTTGGCGATGATCTCGGAGTTGGTCTTCAGGTTGAACAGAAGCACGTTGTGTGGCTTCAGATCCCGATAGATGATCATGGCCGAGTGAAGGTACCTGATCACACAGACCGAACAACGATCACGACCATAGCATCCATATTTTTCAGAACACTCATTTTATGCGAAATGACAGTAAAATTCAACTTTTTCTTATAATTTATAAATAATGTAAAACTGAACAGGCCAAATGAGACAAATTTTCCACCTGAGTCCGTCAGCCACCTGCAGGGCGATCCTGTGCTGGAGCTTCCAGTTGAGGCTGCCGTTCTCGTGTTCAAACAGGGAGTCCAACGAGCCGCGCAGAGCCAGCTCCATCACCAGGACCTGAGGAGTTGAGCCGGCCGCCAGCAGGCCGACCAGGCTGGGGTGACGGAGGCGACCCAACACCGCCAACTCCTGGAGAGAGAGAGAGAGAGAGAGAAAAAAAAAGGCACTGTGTTGTCAATGTGCTGTCCGGGAGCCAGCGACTGAAGGGAACTTTTAGTTTCAGTACCTGTCTGAGGAGTCTGTAGATGTAAAGCTCAGATGCGTGTTTATTGAATATCTTCACGGCTACTTCTTCGTTTTTGTAGACACCTCGATAAACGGTTCCAAAGCCGCCGTCCCCTGCAACCAGATATAGAATATATTTATGAATATGACCAACAACAAAAAAAAAATGAAAATGAAAAAAAAAAAATTTCAGTAATTAAAAGTAAAATAAATAATGACCCAGTCTGTTTTCCTTAGACATGTCGACATCCAGCTCCTCGCTGTCCAGTATCGTTCCTGCAGGCTGATCACTCAGCACCAAGTCAGGAGCGATCTGAGAGATGGGCAGTGTGCACCGAGGGTCCTCTGGGTTCACCAGCAGAAAATCTATGATCAATAATAAAAAATCATTAACACAAAAGATTTCAGATAATGAAAAGCCATCCATGTCGAATGATTAAAACCAGACACACACATTTTCAACTAATGTCATGGATTTTAAAAAGGAAAACCTCTCGAATTCATAGCAGCAACACAGGTGTTGGATCTTATCGTGTGATTTTATGTACCGTTGTCGAAATAGGTGAAGAGGTCCTCCAGCAGGATCTTGCTCCACTCCTGGCCGTCCTCGAAGCTGTACAGAGCCCACTTCTTCAGCAGAGCCTCGCCGCTGCCGTGCATGTCGGTGTTCAGCAGGCCAGGAAACCACTCCTCCAGCAGGGAGTCCACGTGATCCACAACCTGACCCATCAACACCCGGCCTGAGAGGGGAAGAGAGGCAGTGGAAACAGTTTCTTCCACGTTCGTGTGGTTTTTATTTGATTGTTGTACGGCAAGGCTTGAGCTTTTTGAAAAGCTGCGGCACCTCTGCGGGAAGACGGGACAGTTATCCTGACGAAGCTGGAGGGGTTCTCCTCCACCGACGCCGCCTCCACCAGACAGTACGCTTCAGGGGACCAGCTCAGGTAAATGCCTCTCCTCCAGTAGATCCGGTTGGGTCGCACAACTTTCTCTGGACAGCAAACAGTGTGAGAGAAAGACTTTATTTGAGTCTGTGAGCAGAACAGCGCTGATGAAACAGTGAGTGTGTCTCCTGCACGTTACCTCTTCCACAGAGCAAGTACGACGAAACCTCCAGGAGGCGGCTGATCTGCCGAGACCAATAATCCATGGGGAAGTACGGCATCTCATAAAGACGCACTATGACCTCCGAGTTCTCACTGTGAGGCAGCTCGATCACCGGCCTGTGTTTGGACAAACTTGGAAAGGAAGGAATGAGCGGTTAGAGACATTTGAACTTCCTTATTCACTGGGTTCCTACTTAAAATCTGGTCCAAACACAGAGCTCCTCCGCGGCTGGGAATCTGAACCTACTTGCTGGGAACGAGCAGCTGCTCCTCTCCGAACGGCAGCGCGATCTGGAACTTCTCCAGCAGTTTGAAGAACTGCGTCAGGTGGCTCTTCGGGAAACATTTGGTCTCAAAAAGGAACTTTTCCACAACCGAGCGCTGAACAACTCCTTTGGGATGTTCCCACAGGCCACAGCTCTTTAATTTCAGTTTCTGCACAGAGACACAAACACATTGTACATCTGTGCACTTCATGTACCTGCATTCAAATGTTAATACTGGGCTTTTATGTTGAAAATGGGCCCTGAAGTGGCCATTTTGGAGGTCCTCAGGATTAGCTGTTCAATAGAGTAACATTAGAGTTAATGATTTCTGCACTGCTTTCAGTCGGGGATCTACCTCTGCTGTCTGCTTGTATATAACACACATCTTCTCCTGAGCGTGCTCAGTTGGATATGCCCTTGAATTGCACAAATGTTTTGATGAATGGTGTAAATATAATAAAAACTAGACTAGAAAAATGTGATATTTCACAAAGCAGAAAGTAGTGGAGTAAAATAAACATGATGAACAGATAAAACTGTAAGATGCTGTCTTATTTTCAGCATCAGCCTCAGGCCCAAAGGAAGATCTGAAGCTCAGTTAACCTAAGCAAAGGCACAAAGTGTGTGTTTTTGTCTCTATGTGTTTGTGTGTGTGTGTGTGTGTGTCTGTGTGTGTGTGTGTCTGTGTGTGTGTGTGTGTGTGTCTGTGTGTGTGTGTGTGTGTGTATGTGTGTGTATGTGTGTGTCTGTGTGCACAGATGAGGCTACCTGGGAGATGATGTTGCACAGCCACTGTGGGTCGATAAAGTAGAGCTCTTGGAGCTGAAGTGCAGGGTCGTCAAAGTGCAGCAGAACCCCTGCAGAGACAAAAACACAAGGTTTGAACAGACATAGTTCCCACTGAGTGAATTTAATGTTGATTCAAAGAGGCAATAGTTATATTTAAAGTATAAAATACACCTGAAACCTGTCAGTCTGCTACAGAATGGTTAAATATCTGTATGCATAATCACAGTATTCCTTCTTGTGACAGAGAAATGTACTCTGAGCAAAAGATGTTGCAAAGTACTGGAGGAGAACTTCTTCTTTCGAGAAGGTCAAGGCCTGTGTGACGTAGAACGAAGCAGGTTTTTCCGTGCGACCCAGACTCACCGGCTTCACTGAGGAAGTGGACGGCGTGCGGCAGCTCAGCTTCCTCCAGCTGCAGCTGACTCTCCTGGATGAGCTGCAGCAGCTCCCGGTGCCTGATGACGGGGAACTCCGAGGGAACCCTGGCCCTCTCCACGACAACCCGGCGCTCCAGCTCCACGTAGCTGTCCGGAACCAGCTGGCCCATCACAGGCTGGCCCTGGATCTGTGAGGAGGAGAGGCGGCGAGTCAAGAGGTGAAGTAAGGAGAAGGAGAGGAAACGTTTAACCTGCTGGTGGTGGCCTTTTACCCTGAAGCTGGCGACCTCTCTGGCGATGGCCTTGCGGAGTCTGGCCATGGCGTCCGAGTCCTCGCAGACGGAGACCATGTGATAGTCGGTGATGGCGGGGAAACCCTGGTGGTTCAGCAGCTCCTCTTTGATCTTGGTCAGGCAGGCCTGAAGCTGCAGCTCGTCGCTCACATCTGTGTGTGTCCCCACCAGGATGACCGGGGAGAGCGGAGCCACCGCCTGAAGGAAAGAAGCAAAAACATGCACGCATATGAATTTTTTTTTTTTTTATTTTCAAACAAAAATGAATTCATTATATTAATTTATTTCAATGAGGGATTTTCAAAATAGTTTTACCTATAAAAAGTTATTCAATAAATTTTTTTTAAATGTGAAACTGTTTCAAGATTGTTGAGAATTTTCCTTCAAATGACACAGAACACTTATTATCATGTTGACTCAGATCAATTAAATTAACAAAAAAAGAATACATTATTTTTATTATTATTATTATTATTAATAATATACACATTCTTTTATTATTATTTATTATAATAAATTAAATTAATCAATGTACAAGATTAACATCAACTCAGTTTTACTTAATTACTAAAATTAAATTTGAGACTATTAGACTCTTCTTCGGTGCTCAATATGAAGTACAGTTGATCTATATAACAGTTAACAAGGCTTTACTGCTGTACAGTAGATACACAGAACAGGTCCAGTGTGTAGGATTTAGGTGGATCTATTAGCAGAAACAGGATATAATATTCATACTTATGTTTTCATGAGTGTATAATCACCTGACGCTAAGAATCATTTGTGTTTTCATTAGCTTAGAATGAGCCCTTCATATCAACATACGGAGAGGGTCCTATTACATGTAGCACCGCCATGTTGCACCGCCATGTTCCTACAGTAGCCCAGAACGGACAAACACAAACACTGGCTCTATTGAGGGCCTTTTGTATTTTGACGGTACCTGAAAGCCACCAGGTCCTCTTACACGTCTGGAATGGGAGGGGTCAGGGGAAGGGTATCGGGTTGGTTGCAATCTGCAACCTCACCACTAGATGCCACTAAATCCTACGTACTGGTCTTTTAAGTATTCAATCATATAAAACACACACCAAGACTGAAAACAAGTCTTCCATACTCTTTTAGACTTTGTCCAGTGTTAAAATGCTCTTCTTCCATTACAGCCATTGGTTATTTGCATTTTAAAACACAATAAAAAACATTAAAATTTAGCTTCTACCATTAGAATTTAAAACATGCTGTAGGTGAACTCAAGTTTTACTTTGCTCCACAGGATCAATATTTAAATCTGGGCTCTAAGGGCCTCTTTTAATCTCGACCTACACGAGTCTCAGCTCAAGTCAGTTTCATCACAGGAACCTGTTTATCATCATGACTGGATGAATCTTTGGTTTAAAACTTACTTTGATGTTGAAGAGCCAGGGTTTAAGGGCGTCCACCTGACTGGCTCCTTTGCTGAGGTTGTAAACCACCAGGTAGAGAGCTCTGGAAGTCAGGAAGTGAGGGTGAGAGCCGCTGAACTCCTCTCCACCTGGGGGGGGAAGCAGGGGGGGGTGAAACTAAATCACAGCAGCTGAATAAAATACCTGTCAAGATTGAGCCTCTCTACCATGTCTGACTACATGTTTTTAAAGCTCACTAAGATGCGTGTATATCTAACAGCTCCGTAAATTAATCTATTCAGATTTCACACGCTGGCCAACCTGAGAAGTCCCAGACGTTCAGCACCATTTTCTTCTTGTCCCGCTCCCTGATGGTCCAGTCCCTGACGTCGATACCGACGGCGGCCGTCTTCGAGTTCAACTGGGAGCGCTTCAGCTTCATCAGCTGCTGAATCAGGGTGGTCTTCCCGCTGCCGGCATTCCCCACCACGATGAGCTTCATGCGGTAGTATGGCACTGCTTTCTTCAGCCGCTGCTGCAGGAACCTGGGACCGAGGGAGGAGGAAAGGCAAATGCGTCGCTATTATGAGACTTCATTTTATTTCTTCTTCTACAAATGAAGCTGATCAATGAGTGGGGATCTAAAAAAAAAAACAAAAAAACACCTCAGGTTCAAGCGCCTGACCTGACTATGTCTTTGGTCTTGCTGCCAATGAGCTTGAGATCCAGCTGGAGCTTCAGACCATCCAGCGGCAGGTCCCACAGTCGGCCTAGTTTCCCCATCTCATCAGGGAAGGAGCGCAGGTTAGCGTTGTGGCTCATGTCCAGGGAGGTCAGGCCTTCCAACAGGCCGATCTGCGGAGGAATCTGGAAACAAAAACGACACAACCATCAAAGCTACTTATTTGCAATCGTTTGCCCTACCGTCTTATTTCCTATCAAGTGCTCTAATTGTCCTATACCTCACTGAGCTTGTTGCCACTCAGGTGGAGTTTCTCTAGTCTTGTCCACTTGTAGACTGGTCCGCTCAGGTCCAGAGACGCGATGCAGTTCTTACTGAACATCAGCTCTCTGAGGTTGCTGGACGCCCAGAATCCCGGGCCAGGAAGAACAGCGATGTTGTTGGTTCTCATGTCCACCGACCTCAAGCTAGAGAGACAAAAGCATTTTACACGTACTGTAGGAAATGATATATACTAAACAAATACATGGAAACAAGAAGAAGTAGCTGAGAATCTGACTTACTTTGTAAGATCAAGTATGGCCTCAGAGACATAGGTGAAGCTGTTGTTTGCTAGTTTCAGTGTTGTGATCTTGGACGGCAGATGAGACAGGGAACCTGGAGAGGACAGGAAACTCAAGGTCATATGGATCTTTTCTTCAACAGGGATTTAAAAATTGTCAAATTAAACTTGAAAAAAAAAAAAAGAATTAAATAATACCAGAGCATATAACAGGCAAACTCACAGATTTTGTTCATGGAGGCGCTGAAGGTTTCCAGTTTGGGGCAGCTGGTCAGAAAGTCTGGAGAAATGTTCTCCACGCCGTTCTTGCTCACGTCGAGCAGCTTGATCTCCGGCAGACACAGAGGCGTGCACAGCTCAGTTATACTGTTACTGGAATGGGAAAAAAAAAAGACCGTTCTGCCTTTAGACGTGTGGATGTGTGATTCTGTCATGAAATAACACGGTTGTGTCTTTGCTGAAAAACCTGATTCCACACCAATCCCTCAGACGACCTCACAGGAAGTGAGTGTAATTAAATTTGTTGGAAAGGTAGACCGTGCATGACACTAAACCTTCAAGTGATACCATCATGATGGAGAGACTGATTGGCCGGGATGACATGGATATGTCAGATAGACGAGCCGAGATCGGCGCAGAGACCGTGGGGTCGTCTGGCAGGAACGAGACGTACGGTCGAGTGTCTATCTAGAACATTTCTTCACTGTGAAATGAGGCATTTTAAACATGTTGCCATTTTCTCAAAACTACTGCGTTCACTTGAAAGCGAAAGATCTGCTCATGTATCCCATGATTAATTAGTCAAATCAAACATTTTCTATATTAAAATAACAATTGTGCAGCATCGGTGGAGGTGTGTGTTCTCTCTGTGCTTTCTAGTAATCGCTCTGGTCACATGCACAACACAGCAGTATTTTGTGTTAGAGCTATCTAACACATCAGGCCCAGGGAGAAAATGAAATAATGTCTAATGATCAGGACTTACAGTAGCCAGTAATGTAATTACAGTTTTATACTGATAACATTATTCAGGTCATTAGCCTCAGTTTCAAACCCATTATACACAATAAAAGTCATGGTATAGGCCATTTATGTGTTGACCCAATTCAGGAAATTCCCAGAAATCACTGCAGACATGCCCGACTTTCTGTTGTGCAATCGACTGTCGAAATCGAATTTCATAATTTTCCGCATTTCCTTTTTCTTTAATGCAAAAGTCCGGAGAGAATCTCATTATGCGGGTTTGTTGGGTTTTTTTTTTTTTTTTATAGCAACAAACACATCAAAACAATGACAGCGCAATTAATGAGTGCATTCACTTCCTGTCTTACATATAAAGACAGGAAGTGTCATATATAGTGACGCTCAAAGAATCATCTGATTAATCAAACCAGCAGCTTTGTTGCTGAACAACACCTCAGTTTTCCCAGCAGCCTACCCTTCCATAAACAGCTCCTCCAGCTGATCCATGGCGCGGCCCAGCTCCTGAGGAAACGCAGTGATTTCGTTGAAAGACAAGTTGAGCTGCCGCAGCGAGGGGCAGGTGACGGCAGGGTCGAAGGTCAGCAGGGGACCCACGCAGTTACGAGAGACGTTCAGCGTGCTGAGCGAGGGCAGAGACAGCAGCTCCACCGGCAGCGACCGCAGCTGGTTGCCCTGCAGGTCCAGTCGAGTCAGACTGTACAGACTCTGTGGCGAAACCAAAACAAAACAAAGAGCTTCAGCGCACACGTGCATTTCCTTTTATCATTTGATATCTCGGTGATTCAGCACCGATCGGATCCATCACCTGGCAAAGAGCTGAAGGAAACTCCAGCAGACTGTTGTTGCACAGGTCGAGGCGGAGGAGATACCCCAGCTGCTGCTGCACCAAGCTGTCGTCCATCAGACAGGACAGAGAGTCCAACTCGTTCCCCGACAGGTCCAGCAGGCGGATCCTCTCCCGCTCTTTGGGCAGAGGGGCGGAGCTTTCACTAGAGCCGAACACTGAGGAGGTGACGCCAGAGGAGGCAAATCATTAGACGGTCATAAGTCAAGAGCTTTGACTCTACAAGATGTTGAAAGATGCACAATAACAGAACACTGCTGCTCCGGTAAAGATTTTTAAAACAAACAAAAACAAAGGAACTTTTTGCTCATCAAACTTAAAAAGAAATATCTCTTACTTTTATCTATTAGTCAGCTGGTAGATATATTGTTGTCAAACTGTTGACAGAATTTAATAAAATAAAATAGCTGTGAAATTAAACCATGGCCCGTGGAAAAATTGGTTTGTTTTCTGTGTAAATCATCTTTCAAAGACTTCTTTATCTTGTGAGTGGGCTTTTGTTTTTACTTTGCTTATTTATTTTTACAGAATTTCACATTTAACAAATGGAAGTTAAGGGCAGAAACATGACATTACAGACGGATACACAGGTACAGTACACAGGCAACATTGCATAATTTTAAGTGCCTCTTCATCGCACTTCATCCAGTATTTTTTTTACCCTCGTCTTCCTGGAAATAGATTAGGTCATCTTTATAAATATCAAGTCATAAACAGTTGACACAGTCTATAAAAAGGCCCAGAGTGCGAGAGTTTCTCTGGCACATGTATCCTTGTCTATCGCTCCGTGTATCTGAAGCAGATCAAGGTCCAGATGCAGATTAACGGTGTCTGAACATTTTCCATTACTAAACAAACTGCGCACTCCTTAAGAACAGAATCGTTTTTGTTTCACGCAGCTGTGTTTGAAAGAAAAACGAGAATACAGTCAAACTGAATTAAATCTAACCCAGTTACCTTTGTGGGTGGAGCCAGTCCTCCCATATCTCCTGTGTACAGACTCACTGTGTTCACTCTCGGTCTGACCGCTCTGGAAACCAACAGTGAGGGAACAGACTCACATGTGAGTGGGATTCATCATTCTATATTCAAGTTAAGAACTACAATATGTGTCATTTTTATTTTAAAACACACAAAAAATATTATTACATAAGCTTAAAATACTAGATAATAATGAAGATGAGTTTTTACCTCGGCACTGGCATGTCTGCGACGTCCCTGCTTTCTCTTAAAGGACCCCCCCCTCAGCTCCTCTGTCGAATTATTATGCGGTTTTTGAGAAAGAACCCCTGGCAGTGAATCACTCCCTGCAACAGGAGGAGCACACAGGAGGACAAGCGGTTACTATTTACCATCTATGTAACAGGGCTGAACAATTCATCAGGAGAAGGTGCCACGACATAATATAAATGAGGCATTTATACTTTTCTATTTTTTTCCAGTGAAAGTGAAATGCAAAAAATGACCATTTCCACTATAATGTGACTCATATCACAATCACGATATCTGTTAAAATAATGGCAATATGATTGTTTTGCATATCGTTCAGCTGTATCATCTCATTTTCAAAAGGTATTGGCTATCTTTTGGAAACGACTATCGCTGGTTCTCAAGATTTTCTCCCAATTTGGAAAGTCACAAAATCTAAAAATAAATAAAATAAATAGTTCTTATTTAAACCAAAAATATTTGGTTTTTGTTTGTGAAAAGCACACGGTCACATATGTGTCATGTCAGACACCAGGCAGGAAGATCTTCTTTATGATCAACTTAGAATCTTCTTTTGTTATTGATCATTAAAAAAAGGTCACATGCGAAACGAACAAATTAGGTCACTAATGTAACATCACTCCACTCAGTAAGAATAAACTGAGACTAATCCCAAGTCAAAACATGTGTAACCAATCAATGTGACTGTTTGAAAAATACATAATGTGAGAGTATATGATCTTCATCAGAGGTTCTGAGAAGACAACGGGACAGTGTGGGGACGTTACAAAAGAACTACAGTCTCCAAGTTCAGCAGATTCAGCCTGTAATAGAATTACATTGTTGTCTGAATAAAAACTGCTGTGATTCTAGTGTGTAAATCTAATAGAGTGTCAGTTCCACTTCATGTTGGAATTCCACAGTGGATCGCATTAATCTATAGACTCAAACAGTCGCTCTTCGGCTGAGTTTATCCCCTGATTGTGCTGTGAAGAACTGAACCAGGTGAGATCTACGAACACACTGATACGTGATGATTCTGAAACTTTACCGTCGCTCTCCATGTCGTCGTTGAAAAACAAGCTGTCGTCCATGGAGACGAAGCTGAAGCTGGAGTCGTCGCTCTCGTCGGAAATGTAGCCAGAGGTCAGACAGGGGTCGGCCATCGACCTGGGAGGACCGCTGACGCTCTTGGACTTCTGGAGAGACTGAATGTACCTGGCCAAACTCATACCTTTACCTTAAAGAGCAAGAACATGGTACATGGAAATTAAGACTGGGCTGCAACTAAATATTAATTCCATCATCAATCGTTAACTGATCAACTTCACCTTTAAATTACTTGTGTTGTCTAAAATCAAAAGATAGTAAATGTACAATAACATAACAGAGAGAAAAGCATCAACTCTTCCTCACTGCTGTTGTAACGTAGACTGTGCGCTCTTCCTCTTTCGGCCAGCAGGGGGCTGAGCCACGCAGCGTCCAGGCGCCCCAGCCTGAAGCCCCCCAAGCAGAGGGCGCTGTTGTTGAGGTCCAGACCCAGACGGCCCAGGAGCTGAATGACCGTGGGTCCGTCGCCGCGCTTCACGCTCACGGCCAGAGCCCTGCGCAGATGCTGCTCGTGCGCGCCTCGGCTGAGCAGGAGCTCCACCAGCTCCAGAGGCCCGCCCCTTTCACACACCTGCAAACACAAAGGACATGATGGACTCGTTGATGGTTATTCTCATTACTGATGACTAGTTCAAAAGTTGAGGTCTGTCATTTGAAAAGTTTGGCCTCTTTTATTAAATGAAAATGAGGGTTTTGGTGGAAAACATGCAACATTTCTCTTTATTGGAAACTCAGGTACTGCTTTGACACTATATTGAAAAACACCCAGCCTTATCTATTAGTCTATAAAATGTCAAAAGATATATTGACATGTAAAAATACCCATCACACATGACTGGGGCTTAAATTCATGTTTTCCAAATTTCCTGTGTCGTCTTACCAACTGTAAAGACACTTAAACGTATTGTCAATTTATAAGATGAATTACCGCGTTGTGGTTGTATCCCTCCACCAACCAGCCAAGTTGCAGGAAATATGGTCACAACCTCCACTTCCTGAGTCTTAGCATTAAATAAATGGCAGAAGTGTTTTTGTAGAACATTGTGAAGTTGACCTTTGACCATCTGGATATAAAATGGTCAAAGGTCAACTTCACTTAATCACTTTACCCTTTTATTAGATTATCGTGTTAAATTGTGAAATAAGTAGTGTGCGATGTGATGCGAGTTGTAGCCGAAAACACGTCAGGTCACAGCGACCTTTGACCTTTGACCACCAATATATATATATAATCAGTACATCCTTGAGTCCAAGTGAATGTTTGTGCCACATTTGAAGGAATTCCCTCACGGCATTACTAAGATATTGTGTTCACGGACAACCCGAAAAGATTTTGTGACCTCTGACCTGGTAGATGAGAGACTCCGTCTTCGTCTTCCTGTTGATGTCGGCGCCCAGCTCGATCAGACACTCGGCCATCGTCGTGTCTCCGTCCTTGCAGGCCTTTTCCAGCATGCTGTAGTGTAGCTCCGGGTCGCACCACATCTTAGACAGAGCGAGGCATACCGACCTCCGCAGCTGACATCAGACACACAGAGGGGTGTGTTAAATTATGCTGAAGAGTCCAAATCTTTCCAGGAAGAGACTTTCTAAGAACTTTACAAGAAGTAGACAAGTGGTCTACAAGTGGTGTCCTGCACACAGAGGTTACAACGGGTGGATCCTTCATGGCCCAACGTATCCCAAGATTCATTGCGCAAATAATACGGCAGCAACCAACGGCGACAGAGAGCCAGAGGATTAAACTTTTATATGTAAGTATTGGGTTTCAGCTCAGTTCAGCAGCTAACGGTACAACTGTTAGTCCTCTGAAGGATGCGGCCCCTGAATTGTGACACAGATACCGTCACATCAGTGTCACTGTGAGGCTGTTATTGAGGCTTTGAGCTAAATGTTAAACATTAGCTAATTAGGACTAAACACAAACAGCTGAGGCTGATGGGAATGTCATTAGTCTTTGCATATGTTTGGTCATAAACCAAAGCAGTGGATAATTTTCTTTTCATGGTAATGCATCCGATAGTTATGGAGACATTTTACTCATAAACCGCAAAGCGTCAGCCTCACGGTGGAGGCCTGACTCACCGGGCTGTTGCTCTGGTCTGGAGTCTCATCCCTGAGGTGTTGGAAGATCTGCCTGTCAAAGTCTTCTCTCTGCAGTTCAGCAGCTGCTCCTGAACACGCATCAAGCATCCTCAGGGCCACCTGAAAACACTGAGGGACGCACGGACCAGAGACCGATCGTGAGAGTCTGAACCGGCAACATATCAACGGCGGTCAAGTCAGTTTTATTTATATAGCGCATAATCGCAAAACTTTACAATCTGCGCTGCATAACACCATACACCTGGTCAATGTCAAGTTGCTAAATGGATAAAGACGACTTTGTGATGTAAACTTAATGCTGTTATGATACCTAGCCAACGATTAGAGGGACATTAGCTGCTGTATAAGGAGCAGTGTTTGTGTCGATCAAAGGAAATCTCCCCGGCGTTAATTTCTCTCCCGTCTGGGGTTTTCCCCCGGCCACTAGCTCACACTGCTCCGACTGAAGCTCTGTATCCAGCCCACTAACAATCAGTCACATCAACACTTTACATCACATGACAGCTACTAGTTATAAGTGACAGAAAAGGTAGATAGTTATTAGTTATATATCTATTAGTTATCAGTCATAAAGTGGGAACCATATGTAAGAATATGCAATTTATGAACATTTTTCAATAAACACACCGTTATTTCTCCATTGTTTTTCTCCCAGTTCTTTTTGGAGCTGTATGGAGCGAGTCATCTGCTCTAGCAGACGCAGGTATTTGACAGTATTGATAAAGAGGCCAGCAAAGGTTTTTTTTTTGTACTTGCTGCCAACATAATCTTTAGGGGACAGGCATCATCTTTACTTTCCCTCATCAGGAATATGTCCAAGATAGAGGGATGTGAATGTTATTTTGAGGTGATTGTTCCCACGTCCTCTAACTGCTGATTCTAGCCCTATCAAAGACGAGCGCTCAGGTCACCTTCAGGAGCATCTCCGAGTCTTCTCTGTACTGGATGAGGGAGACGACCACAACGGAGGCGAGAACAGGCACGATCATCCTCGACAGCTTCTTCTTGGTTACGAGGTAGTTGAGCAGGGTCAGGCCCCAGTAGTGTATCTCTGGAGTTAGTGAAAGCACAGTTTGTCTGGATTTTTTTTCTAATTCAAGGTTTGTGCACAGCGTCTTTACCTTTCCTCTGGCAGTCAAAGGCAGTATGTTCAGATTTAATAAAGAATACAGCTTCTATTGCAGAAATAGATATAGGGAAAATCCCCGGACCTAACAATCATCCCCCGACATTCACTACAGCCGGCGTCGTTCCAAACCTGCTTTTATAGGCTTTAATCTGGAGGCAGGGGCTGTTGTGTTAACCACAACACAAACAATCACTGTATTGCCCTCAATGTAATAACAAAATCTAATTACTGACTTTTGTGTACTGTACCTCGTTCCTGTGGGAACATCTGTAGTGTATGCAGCACCGTGTCTATGGCCCCCTGTTGGCAGAGCAGGTCCACTGCACCGGAGCAGTCAGCCAGAGCAGACAGCACCTTCAGGCCACACCTCTGAATGATCGGGCTGCTGATGAACTGCACAGACGCAAACAGCACTGAATGTCATCCTGGTTGTTATTGCATTCAGGAATACAGTCTTAACACTGAGGCTGCATCTATGCAACATCTCTATAGTTATGTACTGGATGACAAGAATGTTCGGTTGTTATGCCTCCATGTTGGCGCCAGCCGTGGCCAGAAGCGATTTGTTTTTGGAACTGTTAGTAGAGCTCAACGGAGCGATGTGCGATACGAGTCACGATTTCAGGTGGGCTGGTCATTTCTGCATTTTATTTTCACTGGAAAAAAAAAAGTATAAAAATGACAGCGACGTGATTTTTGTTGGAACTTGTAACAAACAAAAACATGCTCCTTCATGTCTGGAGAATATGATTTGCAGGCCGGAGCGTCTCTGTGGCACCACAACGCTTCATTCACCGTCTGTTGTGACACATTTTTTACCTTCATCAAACTAATTCCAGCTCCTGAGATTTTGGATATCGCACTTAGCCAATTTGCGATTTTGATATTATTAGGATTAATTGTGCAGCTGTAATTGTTAGTAAAAAAAAAAAAATGTAGGATTCAGTCTGTTAGAGCGTCCTTTTATCATCCAAGCACATACTGTAAATCACATCCTGTCCAAACCTACAGCTACAGCAGATGAAATCATCAAAGAGATTCATGGGATGGAAACACTGACTTACCTACTAAAACTTAGACATAACAAGAAAGACAAAATGCCTTATTAGCTTTAGTCATTTGTTTAAACTAATTCTTTAAACTTCATGCTTTACCATTCATGGATAACAATATGTAAATTATGTAGAGCTTAATAAAGACTTTCTGTCAGTGCTTTATGGTGTTTCAGATATAGATGCCATGGTGGCTTGCAAAAAAAAAAAAAGAATTGTTTTTGTGTGTCACATCACATCAGTCAAATTATTTTTATCTCATTTTGGAACAAAAACTCTTTAGAGGGTAAAAAAAAAAAGGTTGTTAAAAGTTGAAGATATTATGGTTAATTACTGGCTTGTTGCTTTCCTGCTGAAACTGTTTTTGTCAGTGTTGACTGTCCCACCCTCAGGCTGAGGATACCAACAACCACCACAGAGGAAGAGAGAAAAAAAAAACAAAAAAAAAAACATGCACACCATTCATTCATCCCAGTAAGTATGGCAAATTCTTTTTAGAAATGTAATTACATCCCTCCGATGTTCTGGTTGCAGGACAAGCTACTGTATAATTTCTGCAATGAATGGATGAACTGTTGTTCAATTTATGTACTGACTGAGAACTATATGTGCGGGCTGTATGTGTACGCTGCTTCTCTTTTTGAAGGAAAACAAATCACACTGTGTTTTCAGTGTTTTTCAAGCTCCGCCATCTTCTTGTTTTATATCAGGCCGGATTAACAGAAATAACCAGGACCAAAAGAAAAGTTCAACTCTGAAAGTAGATGGATGAGGATGAGAGAGCGGTACCCTGTTGAGAACCTCCAGGTAGAGGGTGTGAGCTCCTTCCACCACACACTGGTTCTTCAGGACCTTCAGCGACACGTCGGCCATGTCGGGATCTGCGACCGAGGTGCCGTGCTCCCTTAGGCTCCTGTCTGGGAATTCACACACAGCAGGGAGACAAGTGAAGACAAGGAGGCAAGTACACACACACACACACACACACACACACACACACACACGACTGCCTCTCTTGTCAATCACTAATCTAATCAGGACTGTTACTATTGCAATGTGGGAGCAGGGACAGAGACATCCTATAACTTCATTTGGATAGAAATTAAAACACAAACAAACCACTGCACTTAACAAACCTGAATGTATTCAGCTGCTCTGCCATACATCATGATCTGTATCCATCTGTGTTTGGGAGGTTTGTCTTGCGATACGCTCACCAGATGGACTGCGATGCCACATACTGTACACGGACACATGCACACATTCCTGACCTTCTTGAAAACTAGCCAGAATGATCAGATCCTGATAAGGGTCAAATAAATGTATTCGGAGCTGTTCCCCTAAGAGTCGATTGCTGGAATTGCAATTTAATTCCTTATTAAAGCTGCATAAATTTATTTTTTGTCTGTTTGGAGGCGGGAGATTCCACAGTCAACGGTTTGAGGGGTCAACAGGGTCAGAACAGGTTGAGGTCAACAGTCCAGAAGTCTAGCAAATACTCCATTAGCATTCATTTAGAGTTGTAGTTCAGCCACTTGATGAATTTAAGTCTAATATTAACTCTGTTCTGGTCTCCAAAATCCAAATCCGGAGTAAAATGTCTGTTTCTTTTGCAGCTAATGTTCCACTTTCCTCACCAGCTAGTCGTTACCGTTGTCTGTCTCCTGTTTGTTGTTGGCCAGGTGGTACGCAGCGGGTTTATTAGAGCTTTCTTGCTAAAAACAGCTGCCTGCCGCTGGAGACGATGAGACTGAACCATGCGGTAAATGTTCTGTAAAAACAAAACTATGAGCTGCAAAAGGCTGAAAAGCACGAGCAGAAATAGCCGCCCAGGAGGAACTAAAACTTTAACAACCTAAAAAAGGAAAAGAGCAAAGAACTGAGCACCTGAGCATTTCAAAACTTACTCACATGTCCATTCTCGTCAATCTTCTGATCTTCTTCCTCCCAAATCTCTCACTTGCAGATGTCAATTTTCAATAAGATTTAGAGGTATCAAATTATGTATTGGCTTTGTCCATTTGGCAAATAACTGTTCCTCTATAAAATGTTACAAAAGATGCTTAAAAGATCATTAACTGCTTTTATAACGTATTAATGTCTTAATTGTTTTGCTCATATTGCACACACATTCATTTTCACATTTTCTGCTCTTATTTTGATATTATTTATATTATTGCTGTTAATTTTATTATATTTATCTTTTGAATCCATTCGTTTCTCATCATTTTTATGTAGTCACGTTATTTCCTTTTATGTTTATTTTGTATTTTTATTTTTACTTGTTGTTTTGCTTAGGTGGAGGCTTTAAAGAAGCCCACTGGGCTTCCTGCCTCTCCCTGCGCTCTGTGCTATTTGTTTTCTTTGTCATTTTCTGTGTATTTTAAATTGTGCAAAAATAAATAAAACTAAAGCTAAAAACTAAACTAAACACTTGATTTGGAGGTAAACACTCGATGTTGACAAAATGAAATGAGAAAAGAGACTTGAACGTACCTGGGCAGAGGAAGACCAGGCTGGCCTGAAGAGCCTCCAGCTGAACCTCCGGCTGGAAGTTGTGGACCTTCATGGTGCTGAGGATCTGACTCATGGCCATGTTTAAGTCATCCAGACTGGCTGACCTGCAGACACACGGGGGAGGGGGCAGTGAGAGATTCTTTCCCCAAGCGATTTCAGTGGAAGTGGAAGGAGACAAAATCACACGCAGTATTTTCTCTTCACAAAATGATATACGAGGTTTCTGCCACCTGAGTTAGACAGGTACAACTGCCTCATCTATTCCTGTTATTTTTCTAAAACACAGGCGCATTGTATTGAAACCGTGTTTGTGCTCACCTTCCCTGGAACAGCAGTTTGAGCAGTTTGCAGGCGCTGATGGAAACTTCTGCTGAGGCTGAATGTCTCTTCATCATCTCTACCAGGTTGACGTGGAGGCCGCTGGACAGCAGCAGAGAACGCATTTTACCTGCGGCCGAAGAGGACGTTTTACTGCAGAGGCCCCCAAAACACTGCTGTATCTATAAAGTGCTGAAGCTATTAGCATCATTGGAAAAGTTCGGTGCTAATCTGCACTGCTGAGGACTCACCGTTGTGAGTAATGAGTGTGGCAATAGCGCTGGTAGCAGCTTTAAAGACGCTGGGAGAGGAGGAGTGGAGCAGCATGGCCGCCATCAACTGTCTGTGAACCGGAGTCCTGCAAAACAAACACACAATACACAACAATAAGCATTACATTCTCTCACTGGTTGGACAGGAAGATGTGTGTGATGTCTCATTGTGTCAGCGTGTACCTCTCATCCTGCTCGTCCTCTGATTGGTGGACTGCAGCGCCGTGCAGTAACAGATTGTGAATGGCCCAGCTCGCAGCTTCCTGCGGGTTCACACAAGGCAGAGGCGTTGATTAGTGGAGTTCTACCCGGTTAAATATTTGCCGTGGAAGGAGTTGGACTGACCTGAACCGCTGGCTCAGCAGCGTGGAGCTCCAGTGCCGCACAGCAGGCCTCCATCCAGCCCAGGCCCATGTCCTCCACCTCCTCTTTACCCCTGTTCTCCTCCGCCTCTCCTTCCTCCAGACCCTGCTCGGCCACCGCTTTGTTCTGCACGATGGTTGCAGCTGACGGGAGGAGAACATACAGCGTAATTACATAAAATCAATCAGCGTCACTCCTGTGTATAGAGAATCTTTTTTGTAGCTAACACTGCTATGTGTCGTTGTTGAGGTCAATCCGTTGTTCTCCAGAACTAATCCATCTGCGTGGACATAAATAAATGAGTTAAATATAGTGTGCGTCTGTGAGTGTGTGTGTGTGTGTGTGTGTGTGTCCTCACTGAGGTCAGCCAGGCAGGAGAGAGCGGCTGCTTGCAGCGCGGCGTTGTTGGGGAAAGTCTGACAGGCTCTCACTGCAACTCTCTGGACGCCGTTCAGCACCAGGATGTTGTAGTAACTCTCTAGACGATGACACATGCAGATATCTCTATTGATTATCAAATCCCAATCTGTCGACTGTCAATGAGACACATTAGGTTATCAGAATGAATGAAATCCAAACACCGCTGCGCTGATAGTGAGGATTGATTGGTTTCCCCAACAGTGTTATCGCTATCGACCGTCAACAAGTGAGATGATACTCCAGAGTTAATTATTAACAGCACATCTACTCTGCCCGCTGAATGTTCACTAGGATTTAGTTAACGACTGAAATATGCAAACAAAACATATCTTGATTTCCAAACAGGATAAACTCCAGTCCAGACTGTATTTAGTATTTGGTCGGTTACATGTCTTTTTGTTCTTCAGGCTCTGAGCTTCAGCACAATCAATTTGAAATAAAAATAATGAAGACTACATTAAAGTGCCAAGTCTCAGCTTTGATTTGAGATCGTCTACATCAAAATAGAAAGAACTGTGTGGGAGATGACAACCTGATGACATCATCAGATTATTTTTAGCTGATTGTAGGATATTACCAATTGTGTTGTCTGCTTTGTGTTGCATTTGCTATTGAGTGTTTTAATTACATTACGCATGTAAAAGCCCAACTAGGGACCGGAATAGAAAGTTAACAATGGCTATGAACTCTTTGTGCAACACATTAGTTTCACGCTTTGTTTTAAAACTACATTAAATTGCCTTTTCCCTATCAAATAAATATATAAATAAATAAAAAAACTAAAAAAAAAACTAAACTAGACTAACATATATGATATATAAATTAAATTGTCATGCCACTGAGAAGACGCACTAAATTTCATAGCACAGCTGTGTAATAAGAAATAAAGACTTTCTATTCTATTGTATTTTTCTCTGTTCCCAGTCTCATTTAGGGAATTTATATCTCACATTTAACACTTTACAATTTATCAACGAATAAAACCAACTGAAAATAAAATAAAAAATACTATTCTCTGTTGAAATCTGGGCCTGACCTGATGTAAACCTCATGAACAGGCAGCAGGCCGTCTCCTGCAGCTCCTCCACGTCGGGGAAGGCGTCCATGGCGGCGATGATCACGCTGTAGCACCGGGCGCCTCCTGACATCAGCATCTCCACGTTACTGCCTGCGGGAGAAAAGCTCGTAAACTCAAAACAGAAGTATGAACCGGATTCGTCTGCTTTTTTGAATTTCAAATTTTCATCTTGATGTTCTGGTTGGGGATTTAATTTCATTTTAGTTGGCAATCAAAGTATATGCTGCTCCATGACACACAATAAATATATTTAAAAAAAAAGCGTTGTCTGAATAGCATGGGTAATATAATAAGAGCTGATTAGCAGTCAAAGATAAAAATCTTTTCAACTGCCAACAAAGAATCAGCCAATACAAGGAAATAAAGCAGGAGGTCAGAAAAAGTCCTTCGCAAATGAATGAGAGCGTTATCTCCAAATAGCCTGGAATCCCCCATGACCGTAACAAATCGCACATCTGTGAAGATTAATGTGGAAAAAAATGTTCATGACTGAAACTCGTCCACTTTTGTCCTGTGCACTTTTTTTTTTTTCTTTCATGTTCAGCTCCACTTTTCACGCAAGAATCATCCAGATAATTAGAATTTAAGCGTAGAGCTACGTCTCAGTTGGTTCGTGGGTACATTTCTTATCTTCATCTTGTTAATTTCCTGAAGCAAAAAAGTAACACGTGAGCCGGCGCTTTTTTGGAGAAAATGGATGATACAATATTGCGTAAGTGTGTCAAACTTTTGAATTGGATAAAAAATCCTATTATATAATATCGCATTAAAAGACTGTGCTCACACATCAGAGCACATGAGCCACAAACATAGTGATTTTGCTTCTTTCTGCACGACACAAGGGGATGCAGTATACCTGTGTCGGTGAATATGACAGGTGTCAAAGTAATAAGATATTGCTGTGTAAAAATGACAACAAGACTGTGTTTAAGGGCATCTATAAAACAGTATCATCTTCACATAATACGTCTTCCAGGAGGCAGAGATGAGTTTATTCCTCAGCTGTAAAACATGTTTGTTAAATACTATTACCTTATCTATGTCAAACTCTATAGTATCTATATTTTCAATATCAAATCTCCACTTATGTTAACAGAACAACCCTATGATTGTTTGCTTTTTATTTGTTTATGTTCTCTATTTAAATTATTTGTTATATTTCTTCATCTACACTATGATTACACAGTTTTTTTAAAAAGATCCCATATTTCACGCGTTTCCGGTTTTTCAGTGTTGATCCATAAGAAGAAATATTTGTGGCTTTAAGAACCAAAAATCATCTCAATGTTGTTTTACATCTCCTCTCTCAAGCTTCTCTCTGGAGCTCTAGTAACAACAGGTCGCTGAGCCAATCAGAAGAGAGGAGGCTCTGAGTCTCTCTTCTGATTGGCTGAATAAAAATATAGCAGATTTCAGGTAATCCTGCAAAGTTGGATGGTGGGTCCGGGTAGGCGGGGCTTGAGGCATGGCTGAGGATGGTGACTGCTTTGTTGTGACATCACAAAGTTACAGAAGTCCTGACGGCTGGTTTCAAGGCTCAGTTTGAGACCTTGAAAATATTATCAGATTAATTCAATTACATTTTTCATTTCAGTGTCCTTATGTTACATTGGAAATAATGGCCTGTAATTTTGTGTGAATAGAAATTAATTTGGGGGAAATTTTTTTTTTACCAAAATCTGCCCTGACCTTTTCACATACGCCATCTTAAATAAACAACAGCTTCCTGTTTGACAACGTTCTTTCTGATGACGGCAGAAGAATGAAATTCTGGTAATATGAGGATTCGCGGAGGCTTTCTGCTGTCTGATAATTACATTTGCTGTTCCAAAACAATTTAAAAAAAAAAATTTCATAGAAATGTTGGAAGACTCAATTATCTGTTTCATAACTATATATTTGGAAAGCAAATAGAAATAGTATCCACTCTGTCTTCCTCACCATGGGGGGAATTTCCACAAAGATTTGACGAGTTTTCAACAAAACCCACTATCCTGACCCACAAACAGCTGCTCTTACGCAGCAGCAGCAGCAGCACAACGTCACGTGTTTACTGGCGTCTAATTTGATTTACATCAAGACGTCACAGTGACATCACAACGACACTGGGCTAGAAATAGACTGTGTGAAATAAAGAAAGGCTAGAAATAGACTGTTTGAAATAAAGAAAGAAGAGTTGATGATTAATGTGCTTCCTTCAGGTTCATTCTGTACTACCGAGTCCCGTGTTGTAACACATCAACCATTACATTAGTAAAGTGAAAGCACACATTCCTCTCCACATAAACACTCAGTCTATCCATTGGTATCAGCCCTTTCAATCAAGTAGTAAAGTTAGTGCTCCAGTTCCTTTTCTTTCCCTCACAGTCGTCATGAACACTGTTGTGGCGTAATGAGGTCGTACCGGGGCGAGCCAGTGGCAGCAGCACTTTCATGGCCTGCAGCAGCAGCTCGGAGCTGTCCGGGAACCTCTGGAGCGCCGCCAACACCACAACATGGTCCCGGTTCTCCACAAACTCCATGAGGTGGTCATCGCTCACTGGAAACACACGAGAAATATAATCAGCTACTAAAAAACACAAGCACACAGGAAAATGCTGAGTTTAAGTGCAGCTGAGGAACTTCAGGTAAGACACATGAGAGTCGAATCTGATGGCTGCACCTGATGACACTCTGACAGCACTCATCAGCTCCTTCAGCGGGGTCTATAATCTGGAAGGTTCTCCGCAAGGCCAGATCCATGCTGGATTGCACAAATCACCCTCTTCACTCTGAGTTTGAAGCCCTTCTCTCAGGCCGAAGATTCAGAGTTCCCCACTTTATAGTGAGTTGTGTTTTTAGGGTCTGATCTTGCAGTTGTGTTCTGTGGTTTTAATAGTGTTGTGTGTTTTATTGGAAAGGTACATTATATTGTTGCACTTGTGTTGTTTCTTATCTTTCATCTGACTGCAATTTCAGTTTCCCTTCTTGGGAAAATAAAATGAGTCTGAATCTGATCTGAGTCCCAGGTCTTTCCTTCCTGCTGTTGTCAGACTGTATGAAAAATACAGCACTCAAACACAGACAAACTCACCATGTGCAATGATTAAAATACCAGCTGTGCAATATTTCTTACCTGTTACTTTTTGCTATATTTAAATATCTGATTTGTACATATTCTATTATTATCTATCATTTATCATTCTTAGTATTTGACAGTGACATTTTGCAGTTTTTTTTTCTACCGTCCACTTCTGCTGCTGTAACACTGCAAACTTCCCCACTCATAAAGGACTATCTTATCTTATCTCTTATCTGACGTTGTGGAGCCGAGCCTGACAAAATGTCTTCATTCAAAATACCAACTCACAGATAAATAAACCACATTCCACTAGAACAAGCCCCAGAACAAACTCTATAAGTTCTTAACACTACTGGTAAGAAACAAGTAATAGCAAAGCTCCCAGGACTCCAAGCACAGCTACAGGCTGCTAGGCTAGTGTAGTATGTTTACTAGAATAATAAAAGTCAGGTTAGTAATATGTAATTGAGTTTATGTCACTGCTTTAAATAGCTTCTGTGCTGCTGCTCTGATAATACAGAGCCAGACACTCTGCTGCAGGATACCTGTGGTTGAATATCCTGATAAAGACAGTGCGTATTCCTGTGCACACTTTGGCTCTGGCTAAATACTGGACTGTACTGTGTGACACTTACTGCTGTGGACAATCCAACATATTGTTATAATTATAATTATTCTATCTTATATATTTTCTTACTTCCATTGGTACCTATCTGAATGTATGGGATTAATAAAGCGTTATAATGGTATACAGGAGGTCACAGTGTGTGTCTGCCCACCGCTCTCCAGGAGGAACTGCAGAGCTCTGCATCCTTGGAGCTGCACTTCTTCACTGGTCGGGAACGTCTTCATCGCGTGCACCACCAGGCCAAACACATCCTCCTCCTCCTCCAGCACCAGCAGGGGAATCATGTCTACACAGCCACGAGTAAAACAAGCTTTAAATCAGTGATCGATTCCTCACAACCAACAAACTGACAAAGAATTGTCAGGGTCACGAATAAACGTATATTTTTTTAAGCACAATATATCCACAAACCATTTTGTCACCTATGGATTAACTACAATATTATCTCCAAACTTTCAGTTTCACAATAAGATATGAATATCTCTCAGCAACTGCAGATACGAAGTTTCCTTTTTTTTGAGATTATGTAAATATTTTCTTTAAAAAAAAAAAAAAAAAAAAAAAGTTTTTCAGCATCAGAAGCAGAAAGTCTTTGGCGGTGCAGCCACTGACTGTAATTGCACTTTCACTTTCATATGATGCCATTGACCCTCCACCTTTCTCACAATCTTCTAATCATATCACCCATCATGATATTGATATATAAGTCATTACACACGAGATAAGACATAAGCAGAATCAAAGAGCTCGTTTAAGGAACAAGGATGAAATGCTGCTCTAGGAAGTAGAAATAGACAGCGAGTTTTTCTTTGAAAGGGGGAATAGCAGATGTGTAACATACTGTCACATATACAGATTTACAGTCAGATACATACATGGGGTCTGCAGTTCATGGATGTTTAATAGACAGTTTTTTTTCACATTTTCACTCTTCATCCTTCCTAAAAGATTTTGTGATTAATTCATTTTCAAGTTTCTTTTTTTTTTTTTATTGGTTTGATGACATCACTGCATCCAAACATTAACCTTTCTGTGGCTTTGTTATGCCGATTAAGTTTTTCTATCAGACGTAGAATCACCATTACAATCCCAAACTGTGACCTGGGCTTCAGTTTGAAGGGTATCGAATTGACTTTCTGCTTTCCAGTGCATACAGCGTGTAGCCCGACTAACGCCCCGATGTGTTGTAACATGTCCGCTGTGTAATCGTGTACCTGATCTGAGCAGGAGCGCCAGGGCACGTAGTCCCACCATGGTCACTCTGCAGTCTGCGCTGTACTGAGACAGCACCTTCAGGATCTGCCTGGAAAACACATCAGCACAGGAAAAACCTCAACTTGGGCTGTCGCCAGGACAAAGGGATTTATTCTACTGTCTTTATGCAAGGGGCTAAGTTCTGCAAACTTAAAGATTCATTTTCATTTTTACATTGTTTTAAACTAGATTCTGGATTAGTGACCTGCAGCAGAAATGGGGGGAGGGAGCCAGCCTTAATCAAAAACTGGACAAAATGTGAGACAGCGGTATAAAAGGAATAGAAAGTGCCCATAGGAAATAAAATTACAAGTAAAACTGACATTACGTGACACGGCGATATGACACAAACTTGGTAACTTACAACAAACAGGAAGTGAAAACTGAAAAGATTCAGAATAAATAGAATTATGTATTTAAAACTTGGTCGCCTGAAAGATAAAATCTATAAACCAGAGGGAAAAAATGTCTCAAACTCAACTGCATATCATTAGAGAAAAAAGAATAACGCATGCACAGATCACATGTGGAACAAATCTGAAAACTCTTGTATCAATGTCTCTACATAAAGCTGTGGTGCATATTCAGAGAAATTCTGTCCATAAAACATGAATGAAATACTCAACATTATATAATTCTTTAAACTGTGGAAGTTATTCACAAAATGTGTATGTGTATCAAGATACTGTTTATGCTTTTGACAGTGATGAGAGAGTGACATAAACATGTGCTTACTGAAATAAACTTCATGGCTTGTTTTGAACATGAATGCTGTGTAATCTATAGTACATTGGTGTGATAATGTTGTGTACCTCCATGAAACATGAGCCGTTAGGGTTTTTGTAACAACAGAAAATTCATTCATTAAAGGTCCCATATTATATAAAGTGAGACATGTGTTGTTTGATTATAAAGCAGGTCCAGGTCTTGGTTTTTCTCTGAGCATATTTTTATTCGATCACTCAGAAACCAGTCAGCCAATCAGAGGAGAGGCTTAGAGCCTCCTCTCTTCTGATTGGCTCACTCACCTGTTGTTGCTAGAGCTCCAGAGAGAAGCCTGAGAGAGGAGATGTAAAACTATATTGAGATCTATATCTTCTCATGGATCAACACTTCAAATAAAAATATGGGACCTTTAATGCACACAATAAGTACATGTGTATGTTTTTACTTACTGGTGCACTCCCAGTACCTCCCACTCCTTGGCTGCCTGCAGAGGTCTCGTTAGCTGGTCCAGCGTACCGGGGCATATTTCAATCAGCCGACACAGCAGTGACCAGCCCACCTGTGGCAAGAAGATCACACCGTCACACACATCAACATAAATATAAATCAAAATAAATAAATATATGTTTGAGACAAAATCGAACGTGTGTGCACTTTAAATGACAAAGACATGCATGAGAAGACTTAAGTTTTATCCTTGAAACGACTCTGTTATGACTAAACCTGTACACGAGTCTCACAGTCCCACAGTCGTACTGTTATCAACCTCCTCTGATAAGCTGCAGTGCAGAGGAGTCATGAGATGCCATAAACTTGCTGGATGAGGCGCAGGCCTGTCAGCTGTGAGCGACTGTAACTACACAGAGCAGGGGATGCTGCTGTTCACACTCAAACGCCTCTGAGTCAAGTTCAAGGTGGCAAATATTTCTGTTTCCTTTCAGCAGCATGGAAAACTGATGTGAGGATGTTTGTGGAGCTGCAGCTATTAGTCAATGAATCAATTAGTCAATCAGCAAAAAGTGAATCAGCACCTATTTTGACAATCGAATAATCATTTTAGTTTGTATCTTAAATGTGAGGATTTAAGGTTTTTCTTGCCATGCATCATTGTAAACTGAATATCTTTGTGTTTTAACATTTGAAGATGTCACCTTGGACTCTGGGAACTTATACTGAGCTTTTCTGACATGTTTAGCCAAAATGAATCTAAAAAATAATTAGCATATTAATCAATAACGGAAATCAGGGTTAGTTGCAGCCCTAAGCATTTGCCATTGAAAAAAGTGTGTTGAAAGCGACCACATGAAGTTTGTTCCCTTTGTTTAGGAAGACTGTCACAACCAAAGGATTGTGGGGTTTCTGACGTCTCGCATCACCTGCTGAACTCCTCTGCTGCTGATGTAGGACGACAGCATCACCATGAGAGGCACATGGACATCTTTGTCTTCGAACAGTTCAGCTGCTGCAACAAACAACAACAGATGAGAAGACGTGATGTCACAGGTTCGCTTTGAAGCAAGGAGACGCAGCTTTTCACACTCATTTCTATTTCTATAAGACGGCTCGGAAAACAGTCTAGAAATAACAAAGGTCCCATTATGAGGCTGCAAGTCTAGGTGTCTTTGTTCATTTGCAAAGGCGACAATCACAGCAGTGATGAAAACATACAGAGTTTAAATTATGGGCAAGTGAAATGACAAATCTAAAATACCACAAGATAAAAATACTCTATTGCAAGTATTATTGATAAATCTAACACTGTCTCAATTAAATCATTAATCAATTAGTCTATAAAATGTCAGAAATAGTGAAAAATGCCCACCAAATGTTTTGTGTGACCAACAGTCAAGAACATGAAGATATTACACATTATCAAACATGACAGATAAAAAAAGAAAATCCTAACATTTTAGAAGCAGCTGGGAAATTTCCTTTTTGCTCAGAAAATGATAAAATTGTTGACTAATTGATAAATTAACTAATTGCATTGGCCCTGATTTCAAGTCCTGCATTCAAGATTTCAATTACAATACAGTACAATAAGCAAAAAAGTGCACTTGAGTACTAAAAGTAAACTAAGCACTACGATAAGTTAAGTTGTAATATCTTAATATTAAAAACCATGATGTTGTATTGGTGAGTTCAATTACGCGAACCAAACTACAGCAATGCATCACTTTCTCTTTGTCTCATATCTTTATAATACATAACTAGCTGCTACACGTATGAGCTGAATGTAGTGCAGTAAAAGCGAAAGTATAAAACTGCACAAAATTTAAACAGTAAAAGTCCCATAAATATGTTTAAACTCCAAAACCAAACCAAAACTAGAAAATAGTTATTACATATAAAAAACAATTAATTTGTAGTACTTCTGGTGCTTGTACTTTACTTGAGTATTTCCATGTTTTGCTAACATTTGCTCCTGCTACACTAAATTTTAGAATAAAGTATTGTACTTTTTTCCCTTTTATATGTTCTGACAGTTATTTTACATTCAAAACATGCACAATGATCAGTTTATAAGATATGATGCATGGTTATAGATAAAACTCCCCTATAGTATATGAAGTAGTTAAAATCAGCTCAACTTAGAAGCTGCATGCACACTGAGCCACTAGTTATAATAATAATAATAGTGTTTTTAATTTGAATGCAGGACTTTGAGTATTTTTATACAGTGATATTATTACTTTTATTAAAGTAAAAGGTCTGACAGCTTCTCCAACCAATGCTGCTGTTTCAAAAAACATTGCCAAAGGAAACTGCCTGTTTATGAGCAGCAGCATGATGATGCACATGCGGGAACAATGTGTTTCCTACCATAGTCGGTGTGTGCCAGGAAAAGCAGATCCTGGATGATCTGGATCAGTGTGCACAGCTGTCTGTCTTCTTGAGGGGTTCTCAGCCTCACCAGAAGTTTCCTCAGCCTTTCCTCCAATTCCTCCTTGTTAACCATGATCTTTGAAATACTGTTTTCCAGTTGATGACTTGACCTGCATTTAGGTCAAATCAGTGCAGTCCCTCCCAAACGACAAATGGCTTCGAGCGGCCGCACTGCAGCAGCGGTGGCGGCTGCTGCTGCTGCGGGAAAGAAACGAGTGAAGTCCTACTGTACCCACGTATCATTACATCACTTTAGTAAAAGTTGTGTTGCATAATATTATATTAGCTACAATGCAGCTAAGTGACTGTCACGACTGAGGAAGCTGTCAGTGTCGCAGAGTTTCGGTTCCGACATTGACATCACCGTACCAACGTAACTTTCCTCTGCCTCAGAAACATGATCCTCTTTCTGGAGTCGGAGACTTTCTGTTGTTTCTGTGGGAAATCCAGCGGCTTGTGTCCGCCAGAAGTGTTCCTCCTTCCTCGATGTCACATATCATATGACTCCGGCCAGAAAAACTTCCCGTTTGTTGAAGACTAAACTGGAAATAGACACTGAGCTGCGCGGCGCGGAGGGGCGGAGATGGAGGAGGAGGAGGAGGGGGCTAACAGCTAGCTTGTTTCAGTCAAACTGTAGCTGCCAGATTATTGCACAGAAAATCCTTTTAACTCAGATTAAACTGGCTGTGAGTGACAGCTACACTGTTAGGATCCGTCATCTCCTTAAACTGCCTCCCACCGCGGTGTCCGGTGTCGGCCGTTGGTTTAGTGAGCTGGACTCTTGGCACTGATTCGCGCCGTATTTCATTCAAAACTTCCGCATTGTCGTGTTTGTTTGCGAATTGCCAATCGTACTTCCCCCGTAGAGCAAATATTAAAACATCTTCCAACTTCTTGTTAGACATTTGTTTATTCGGCATACAAAGCTGGGACTAATTACACAACACTCAACTTTTTCTGTCTGTTATTCTGCAATCGCCAACATCATAATACTGCGCATCTAGCGGTGTAACTACGGTACTTACACTGGGAGCATCATGTAGACCGTGTGTAGTGTATATACAACTATACAATCAAATAAATCTGACTAGTATGTGTTGTCCTTAAGATTTTTGGTGTTTTTTTATTTGTTTTATTTGTTTTTCTTGTGTTTGCAAGTTTAATGTTGTGATGCCTGTTCGTTTGTTCATTGTATGTCATGTCGATATATTTTGTAACTACGCACTTTTCAATTAAAAAAAAAGTACTATACTTATATATATATATTTATTTATCTATTCATTTATTTATTTATTTATTTATCTATTATTATTATTATTATTATTATTATTATTATTATTATTATTAGAATTCTGATTTAATCTCAGAATTTGAGAAAAAAAAGAATTTTTTTTTTTTTTGCTGGTTCACATAGAACTGAATCCCATACAACCAGTTTGACCTGTCATTTCAGAAAAACAGGTGTAAATAATATCACAATTACTGAGCTCTCTGCTTAGTTACTGACAGTTATTACTGTTCACACAAATGTCCCATTTTTTGTGTACAATTTATTACTTAGAGTCATTAGACTCTGTAAAACTCATGGTACGTTCACACAGGTGATTTGAATCTTTTCTTAGAATTCTGATATCTGAATCAGAATTCTAAAAAATAATTTTTTTCACTTGTCCCTAATCCTCTTCCGTAGATTATATTAGCCAGATTCTTACTCAACTTTTTGTACTCAGAACTGTGCATTATAAACTTATACAAGACAGTGACTGAAATATGGGTTTCTTTAGTAAATTTTCTAAATTCTAAATTGAAATAATTTAAAAGATGAATATCAACTGACGTTTTATCTGCTACTGATTGATGTTAGGTTTGCAAGAAGGAATAGAAAATAAAATGACAAATAGCTGTTTCGATTTTTCCAATAAAAAATAGGAGTTATGTCTTTAACTAAATAAACCCCAATTTCAGTTATTGTTTGTCTTCATAGGTGAATAAAGAACAGCCGATATAAAAATGCATTATTATAGTTGGCCCACATACTGCACAGAGCAGTGAAAATCCCTGCTATGGGAGGGTCAATATACATCAGTCTATTAATTTGAGTAAGGTTACTTTGGGTGAACATGAAAGGCTAGATATGTATACAGCGTGCGTGTCACTCTCTCTCACTCACAATTGCTTTGTAGGGGTTACCATTCATTCTTACTTCTAAAGATGTTGGGGAGAGGTGAAGGGGTCGGTATGATATACGGTTGGAACATAAAGGGTTTAGGGGTTGTTGCACAGTTTAACCCAACCAAAAGGACTGAGGAACAGTGTTGGGTCTGTAAAGAATGTGTCAGCCTAATAAATGTAGACGAGTAAAACATCTCAATGATGTATAATATACCAGACAGTTGACAAGTTAAAGAAAAAAAGCAAGATAAAGAGTAGCAGTAAGGTGTTGAGCCAAAACAGCGTCAGTGGTTGTTAAACTGGTTTGAGAACTTGTGACTGTGAAGGCCACAGCATATGATTCACATCATTTTCACCCTCAAACCATTCAGGTCACCAGGGGTGAATGGTGTGCACATTAATGGATCCTAGAGCCATTTCACCATTTATTTTGTTCAGGAAGTTCAGCAAGGAACTAATGGTAGGATGGAAGGATAAATAGATGGATGCATGGATGATTTCTTCAGTACAACAAACTAAAGTAAATACCTTGTCATGCATTCCACAAAAATAATAAAGAAAGGGTAATTAAAACATTTAACATTCATAATGCATCCAAAGGAGAAAAAAATTAATCTCAAACATTAACTAGGGTTCTGCTTATCCTCTTAACAAAGAACAGAATTAAATGCAGGATACAACTTTACTACTTCTGGTTCTAAATTACAACAATTTGCCTTACTAACAATTTTCAGGTCAAATAAACTCATAAATTAAGATTCATTGAAGGTAAACATAATTTGAAAGAAATAAACAATAAATGATATCAAACAAAAGGACACTGGTTTCCAGCAACCTACTGGTGTGGCAGCATGGTCAAAGGGATCTCAGTTGTACACTGCTGGAGGGCCCAGGCTGCTCCTCCGGGAGTTTGAAGTTTAAGGTCTGTGCTTGTCCCACCTGTACCAAGGATAGACCCTTTGCTGAAGGGAGAGTCTGGCCAGCACCTGGAACACACACAGACAAACACAGACTGTTTTAGGATTTTCAGCTTTCATTAAAAGTTAAATCACAGTACAGACTACAACACACCAGCACAGCTTCATGACAAACTCTGGTGTCTGACACAAATGACACAAAGATCCAGTGGTATGCAGTGAATTTAATGGAAACATGTGCAATATGTACTACATACTACATACTACATGTTCACATTTAGAGACAATGACAGAGATCGACCACAAGGTGGAGGCAGAGACTCAATTTCTCTCCAGTGTACCACATTAACTCCGTTGTGTGGATACATTGAAATCGATTAGACCTGGACTGTGTGGATGTCTACAGACCATGCTTGATTGACATCTGTACGACTCTCGTGCTAAACTTTACTACAGTGTTCTTGTGTTTGAAAACAAGTCAGTGACTGTTTTTAGAGGATCATAAGAAGAGGATCTGTCGCCCAGAAACTGTGGAGTTGTTGCACCAACAGACATGACGAAGGTCTGATCTAGTTCTACAAAGATTACCCTGCAGATTGTACTGTATGTCTCATTATCTTTCTATGAGCTTTAGTTAATTCTTTTATTTACTCATGTTTAAAGAATATATTATATTATATTGTATATTGTAATGATAATGCTTGTCAATAAAAAGAGGTGGGTGATTTTAAAAATCCTTTTATTTCACCTTAATGGAGAAAAATGTATGCAAAGTGTTACTGTGAATGGACGTGTCAATCATTTGGTCAAAGGTCACAATTTCATTTTTAAAAAAAGTGTGGTTAGAAAGAAATAAAATGAGATGAAAATGTTTTTTGCTGTTAGTTCCCAGAGGAAATGACGAAAGAGTGAAGAAATTACACGAAGTCACCAAACTTCATTTACCAAAAAGAATGATAAAGCGTTAACATCTCCGCTCACACAGCTGCAATAAAGCTGTGTACACGCGCATACTGTCCCCAGAGGACGTCCAATTAGGCAAAATGAGTGAAAACACCTGTGTGGACGTGGTGAGGGTGTGTTGGGCCTTGAAAGGCTGGAGGTAAGATTAATTTAAACTGTCTGCTTGTCTACTACCTTTACCTAAAATGTTGTATTTTCAGTGGCGTCTTTGATTTGCATCAGCATTGCATTCATATTCATATACAGACACTGAAATGCTTGTAATGGAAACTTTTAATAATTAAACTTCACTTTTAAAAGCAAAGATATAAAGTGTTTATCCAACCAAAACCACATATAGTCATACCATTTCCCAGGCTAAAATATTGTCTATGTATTGTTGATAGTTTTCTATTATTAAAAGGAATAAAAAAAAAATCTTTGATCTTTGAGGAAATATCAGAAACGCTCCTATTCCTCTCAGTGTGTTGGTGTTTGTGACTCTGTTGATAGAGCGCTGACATTGCCGCTTTATGCAAAGATTCGAATGGCCGTATGGAAACAACTTGTCCGTCTTTGTAGACAGACACTGGAACAGTATTGAAACCAAAAAATATAGAACCTGAATTTCTGCCTTTTGGTGTCTGATTTATTCTCTCAAAGGAGAGCACAGCATGACGTGTGGTTTACATGCCATAAAAGAAGTTGCTCTGCAGTAAAGCTATACCACTATATCCTCATATAGACAATCGCTTCTAAGATCGAACTTTTATGACCTACCTTACACCTCTTACTGTTTTGAGACTATTTTGAACGTGTCTGTGCTTCTGTGTTTGGCAGTATAAATTGCATAAGGTTTTGTACAACAGAGCCAATAATTCCCTCTTACCGTGTTGAGACTTTGTGTGTGTTTCTGTCTGCGGCTAGCTCGCGCCCCCAGTCCAGGCCTTGCGATATAACAACAACTTAAATGTAAAAAAACAGAATATCATTTTAACTCATCTTAAATGTTTAACTATGATCTGTGTGGAAATGCAATTACACA